CTTTGAAGCCGGGTGTCTTTAATCCCAGCACTCGGTAGGCAGAAGCAGACGGCTCTCTGTGAGTTCAAGGCCAGCCTGGTGTACATAGTGAGTTCCAGGACAGCTGGGGCTACAGGGAGACCCTGTCTCAAAAAGACAAAAACAAAAGCTCTTACTTTGTGTACGGTCTGTGCACGTGGTAAAGTGCAAGCTCACCACAGCACTTGTTTAGAACCTCAGGTGACAAGTCCTTGCCTTCCACTTAGTTTGAGGCAGGACTGCTGCACACTCCAAGCCAGCTGGTCCTCAAGTTTCCAAAAGACTCTAGTCTCATCTCCCTATTGGGAGTGCTGATTACAGATGTGTACCATGTCTGACTTTTTTATATGGGTTCCTGACAACTCGGGCTGCCAGGTTCATGTTGTATTGCTTAAGTGCTTTAACCCACTGAGCCATTGCCAAGGCCCCAGATTTACTTTTATCAGCCCATATTAGTGTAGAAACTAGGTATGAATCTCTGAAATCTGGTTCTACAATCACAAATATCCTTTTAAAAAACACTGCTAGGAAGCTAGGTATGGCAGTGCACACCTTTACTCTCCCAGCACCCGGGAACCAGGACTGTGGTTCTGAATTCAAGGGCCAGCCTGGTCTAGCTAAATAGTGAGACCCTACCTAAAACAAGTGTGTGTGTTATGTGTGTATACATACACAAAAACACTGATTAAAATCAGCAAATACAGAAAAACTTTTATGAAGATTGAGATAGCCTGAAGAATGTTTGCTGGACAAAGCTGGAACCTCTGAAAGGTAAGAATGGAAAGAAGGGAGAAGCATTTCAGAACTAGGTACTTAGACGCAGCTTAGTTCAGTCTTCCTGTGGGAGTCTGCCTTGTAAGGGTAATCCTAAGAGGCAGGCTTTGGGGCTGGAGAACTGACTCAACAGTTAAAAGCACCGGCTGCTCTTGCAGAGGACCCAGGTGTGAGTCCCAGCACCCACATGGTGGCTTAACAAACATCCATAATTCCAGTTCCAGGGTATCCAACACCCTATTCTGATCTCTGTCGGTACACTTACATGTAAGGCAATACACTCATACACATAAAAAATTTTCTTTAAAAAGAGGCCGGCGGGAGAGAGATGGCTCAGCGGTTAAGAACACTGGTTGTTCTTGCAGAAGACCCAGGTTTGAACCCCAGCACCCACATGGCAGCTAACAACTGTCCATAACTCCAGTTCCAGGGGCTCCGACAGCCTCTTCTGTCCTCCTCGGGCATTGCATGACACAGGTGCACTTACCTACATGCAGGCAATACATTCATACACATAAAAGTAATAAATAATTGTGGATTTCTGTAGGTCTTCCCACATTTGCCCACCCTGGTCAGTTGTCCTCACTTGCACAGACCAAAAGGAAAAGAATTTCCAGAACTCAAAGCAGTAACATAGGGCTAGTAGAGATGGCTCAGAAAGTAAAGTGCTTACTGTAATTATGAGGACTTGAGTTCCATCCCCAGATCACACGCCAAAAAAACTTCCCAGGGGTGGGAAGGCAGAGGCAGCTCAGCTTGCCTAGTCGGTAAGCTCCAGATTAACCAATGAGATTCTGTCTCAAGGTGGCTTCTACCCCACTCTCCCCACACAAAAAGCAGAACATGCCTGCAAAGAGCATGTAGTCAATGGTGCTCACATCCTCATCCCAGGAATTCCGACACTTTCCACACTAAACTCAAAGACCACTACCCAATACAGATTACCAATTGTTACTTCCTTCACTCCACTTACTCACCATATACTTAGCAACATTACCATTTGTACAGCTTTATTCTCTATATTTTTTTGAGATGGGCTCTCACAATGTGTTTCAGGCCACCTTTGAACTCAATCCTCCTGCCTCAGTCTCCCACATAGATGTATACACCACACCTAGTCTTCCCACAATTGTTGATTTTGATCTTGCAAAAGCCACAGATGACCCTCACTAGTCCCCTAAAACCTGGAAATTAATGAGGGTCCAACAGCTAAAACATGCCTAACTTTCAGGAGGGCAGACATGTAAAGACTACTTAAAATACCAGCAAAATATGAGTGTCCATACCCACACTTAAGTTTTCTACACAGTCTCACTAGATAGCTCTCTGGTTGGCCTGGAGATCTGCCTACCTTTACCTCCTGAGTGCTGAAACTGAAGGCATATGTCACTAAGCTCATCTTGACATATTTTTATAAAGTACCTTTCTGACTGATTTCTTTCCAGAACTCAGACCCTAAAGAAACCCACTAATTCAGAGGTTATCTTCTAGGACCATGAATAAAGAATTGGAAGAAAATCTTAGTGCACACAAAGCTTTGAACTGCATCAATGATTTCAGTGACAGTAACTCATTCATCTCATTCACACTGCATCAAAAACTTTTTTGGCACAGGGTTGGAGAGATGGCTTAGCAGTTAAAATCACTAGCTGCCTTTACAAAGCACCCGGGTTCGATTCCCAGCACCCACATGGTGACTAACCATCCAAACTCCAGTTCCAAGGGACCCAACACCCTTTTCTGATCCTCGTGGGCACTGCACAACATGGGTGCACTTGCACATATGCAGGCAACACACTTAAAACACAGAAAATATTTTTAAAATCCTCGGCACAATCAACGAAGACCACAAAATTTTTACTTTGTATTTTAAATACAGTGGGTCACACAAAGACATGGAAGTTGAAAGGGGAATTGGTATGAAGGGAGGGGTTCAATGGGAAGAGGATGAATGGACAACTGGGGTGAGGGCTTAATTAACACACATTATAATACATAAACTTTTCCAAGCTTTTGTTCATTAATTTTACTGAAACTGCTTAAGATATAAAAACAAGCCAGGCATGTGGTACTTGCCTTTAATCCCAGCACTTAGGAGGCAGCAGGGGATCTGAGTTCCAGGTCAGCCTGGTCTACATAGGGAATTCCAGGCCAGTTGGGGCTACAGGGAGACCACATCTCAAAAGACGAAGTAACAACAAACAAAACAAAAATAAAGGTGGACTACAAAAGGAAAAATAATACATCAAGATCAAAGCTGCTGGGCAAGCCAAAGCAACTTCAGAGAAGTCCAGTAACCTAAACTTTTAGCACTTTTCCTGGAAATCTCACAAAAGCTTATGAAGTAAGCTTGACTCATTCAACATCTAACTTAAAAGATTAAAGTAATGAGTTTTCCAGAGAAAAGCCTTGAACAAACTGGACCTGTTCTCCATGAAATGGGCTGTCAATTTAACTGAATTTTAGCAGACACCAAGACTTACCATTATGGTGGGGCAAGGAAGAGGTAGGCCAACAAAAGAGTCACCAACACATCTCAATTTGACAAGCAGTTACTGTTTTATTAAGTGACCAGATTACAAAAATATCCTAAGTAGACACCTGAAAGGGAAAAACATTTACTTATTAGAAAATACCATAGAAGTTGAGTTAGCAAAATCAGTTGTAAAGCAGTAATAATTCAGTTATACTTTTGGACATCTCCTTTCTACTTTAAACAATAGGGGGGGTCCTCTCCCCACTCCCCGAAAGCTTCTCAAAATGTAATTAACCCAACCATCTACCAGAGACTTCCTCAACTGACTATGACATCCCCAACCAAGTAGTAGAAAATAAATATTCAAGGTCACCTTTCCTCTATTAAGACCAGTTCTCTCAGGATGCAGTCTCTCACCTTAGTTCATTCTTCTAATGAGCCTGTTGATCTGGTCTTCCCTGTTGCCAGCATCGCCACCTTCCACAAAATGAGTTGTCTTTTTCTTCATTCCACCTCGTGGAGAAGACAATTTGAAAGGCCACAGGAAGTTATTTGCTTCCTTGAAGTGTTTCCCAACAGTATAGATTTCGTGAATCAGATCTTCCATGCAGATGATGCCGTATTTACCTGAAAAAAATTTTGAAAGATTATCAGTTTCTTTTCTTTTGATACAGGGTCTCACTGTATAGCCCTGGGCTAGCCTTGAACTCAAGAGATGCTCCTGCCTCTCCACTCATACACTGGGATTAAAGGTGTGCACCACACCACACCCTTAAAGATTAAATTTTAAGGAGCTCAACAGTTAAGAGCAAACTAGGAGTCTGGGAGTGGCGTCCTTTGAATCCCAGTGTTGGGGAGGAAGAGGCAGGCTATGTTTGAGACTAGTCAGAGCTAACATAGTGAGACCCTGTCAAAAAATAAACAAACCAGGATGTTAACACAGGGCTTTATTTACAGACGTTCAAAGCCAATGAAACCAATTTACATTTTCCTTAAGGATTAGAGAGCATGTGAAGGCTTGTAACACTGAGGCCTGGGCTAGGGACATGGCTCTGCAGACACTTTAGTGCTCACTAAACATGTGTGAAGACTGGAGTTGATCCAAAGAACCCCCACGAAAAGCAAAGTGGGTGTTTGTGGTGACCTGTCTATAATCCCAGACAAAGCAAATCCCTTCAGTAGGCCAGCTAAGCTAGCAGAAGGGCTCCAAGTTCAGGGAGTCTCAGCCTCATAAAGGAACACTAGGTCCCAAATATCAACTCCAGGCCTCCATCCACACATACATATTCAAAAGAATAAACTTCATGGCCAGAAAATAATCACCTTGACCTAGCAGCAAACTTGCCCTAACAAGCAGAACCTACCAAGAGACCGAGCAATCAAAGAGTTATCTGTCAAGGCAATCCGCTTCTTATTGATTTTGCCATAACCACGCTTGTAGATAAGTTCATTTACTGACTTCAGATTGGGATACCTGAAACATGGAAAGCGGGTTAGTGGCTACCAGTGTTTAAGTATTTAAATTCATCTCATCATTATCTCCTGAACAGAAGTCAAGAATACTCACCCCCATGCAATGTATGGCTCCACAATCCTCAGCATGTTAACTGAAGCCTTGTTGAGCTTAACAAATGTGCCATTGAATATCTGGCGCAGGCGAAGGAGCTGCAACACCTTGCGGACCTTTGGGCTGACACCATTGATTCTGCAGGGTAAAGGGACCAGAAATATCCATATAGTTTTCACCATAATTTTAAATAGTTAACAGAAAACAATACCCAAGTACTACTAAATAGATGAGATAGTACAAAGGCCAGTTTTTCCTTTAGCTAAATTACTCTATCACTTCTACAAACTTGCCTTTTCTCCAACTATCACCTTTAACAAGGTCCTGACTCAACCCATACTTTTGTAGGCATTCTTTGTTAACACTACAGAACATTCTAACCTCTTAAGACAATTTCAAGACACTGAACTCCTCCCACAGAATCAGAGCAGTTTAGCTTTGGGCACAGAGCTGGCAACTCAACCCCCTTCTAGTTAGTGTCATTCCAGTATTTCAGCATCGGTACCCAAAGAACATGAAACTTTACTGGGATCTTTTTATCTTTCCCACTAAAGCCAGAATGCAATAAACTCACCCTCTGATTCTGATGACAAAGGCCAATTTGGGTTCTGCAGGTACATAGAAGTTGCCAGCTTTTCTCGCCATCCTGGCCATTCGGATCTCAGTCCTGTACATCTGCCTGTATTCCTTGTGATACTGCTTGGCCTTTTCATAGATAAGCTTCCTCCTTGCCTTCCGAAGCTGAAAACCAAATCCCAGTTATTCACTTTTAGTTCCCAAACACAAATAGCAGTCTTATAAGACTGTTTTGCCACAGCATACAAACATCTCCACAGACACGTTTGAGAATGCCACTAGGAAGCTCTTAGAAAATCGCTCAAAAGTGAAGTAAACAAGTCTCACTAAACATTTTACTTCATTCTCAATCCCAACCATAAGCCCCCTTCCCCATCTAAGTGTCTCCAAAACCTTACTTACCGTCTTCAGGGCAAACCTCTTTCGCAGCCGTTTTACCTTCAACTCTGCGAAATTTCTTCGCTTTTTCTTAAGGGTTTCTGGCACAGCAGGAACCTTCTTTTTCTTCTCTCTGTGATAAGCACAGAATATTAACAGGCCTAAATACAGTGCCCTATTACACCTACTCTGCACCGAGCACTGTGCCAGTGGCATCTCAGTTGCTCTAGAATGCTCTGATCAAGGGACAGATTTCCGATTTCCTCCATGCCCACAACCTTTCACACACACTTCATTTATACAGCAAACATAAATGCATGGCATTAACTACACCTATTCAAGTTACCGATCCTGGCCTTCAATAGGAAAAGTTAAGATGGCAAAATATACTGCAGAAGTTGCTACAAGTTACTAATCTTTAGAGCGAAGTATCTAGGTCCCTAAGAAACACAAAAATAGTTCTAATTCTGCTTCCAGGCTCAAACGCCACATGTTGAAACCAACGACCAGCGGCAGACGCCTAAGCCAACTTTAGCCAAGAACACACCCAACTCGAGAGGCACTCGAAAAACACTCTACCGGGAACCGACCTCAACCCAACTGGGCTCCGCAAATCCTGCCCTCACACCTCGTTCCTGGTAGTCCCAAACCTCCACGCCAAGGCCGCCCCGCACCTCATCCTAGCCTGGAGTCATCAGCTGGTGTCACAGAACATCACAAACACACAGACACGCAGGCTAAGGCACAAACTACAGTCAGAGAGCGCGAAAGCCAGACACAATGCCTCTAGTTTGGGGGATGGAGGAGGATTCTGAAGAACATGAAAATCTACGTACGGCACGGCCTCCATGGTTCCAGCCGGAAAAGAGGAAGCTGGCGCATGCGCACTGTCCCCTTAAAGTCTGAGAGAGAGCGAAGCCCCATGACTTATAGGTGTCCTAGAATAAGCCAGAAAAAAAAAACAGAATTGAGAGTTCACTTCGCAGGCGCAAAATTAAGAACAGCCTGCTTTAACCTCTTCCAATCAACTTTCTGGCAAAATTTACATGCGACAACAAGTCACTGAATACACTTTTTAATTAAAGAGCAAAGAGCACTGACACCTTTTGACTGCTTGGGGTCCTAATCCCCAAGTTGCTCTGACAGCGTGAAGCTCCAGCTCCAGGAAGTCATTTAAACCAAATGACAGGCGCACGGATGTGAACTACAAGTCCCGGCATGCTACACTTCGTAGCCCGCCGAGGGGTAGGGAGCCGTTGACCCAGAGTCTGGGTAGCCTCCGCAGTGGCGATTCCATCTAGGATAACTAGAGTCTATCTAAGGCATCACGCGCCCAAGCGGCTAGCTGCGATTCAAAGTCACTGTAGGACGCCTCCTCCGCTCCCCGCCACCGCCGACACAGAGCGCGGCTCCCCCAGGGCCTCGCTGCCGAGGTCCTGGTTCCGCCCGCCTGAGGGGCTGTCTTCCGTAGCGCCTGATTGCAGGGTGGCGGGCCAGAAACCCCTGGCTAGCGAAAGTGGCCAGACAGGGAAGAATGAGGACTGGACGGTCGGAGGAAGATGGCTGGGACTCTGCGGACCGCGGGGCCCAGAAGGCGCAAGCCGGGGCGACCCACGGCAGGGGGCGTCAGCCGAGAACAGAGGGGTGGCGGGGGCCGGAGGCCGCGGCCACGGCCATGTGAGAGGGGCTGCCCGGCGCGGCTGGGCGGCTGGCGGGCGGGGGGCTGAGGGAAGAATGAGGACTGGACGGTCGGAGGAAGATGGCTGGGACTCTGCGGACCGCGGGGCCCAGAAGGCGCAAGCCGGGGCGACCCACGGCAGGGGGCGTCAGCCGAGAACAGAGGGGTGGCGGGGGCCGGAGGCCGCGGCCACGGCCATGTGAGAGGGGCTGCCCGGCGCGGCTGGGCGGCTGGCGGGCGGGGGGCTGGGG